AGAGAGAGAGAGAGAGAGAGAGAGAGAGAGAGAGAGAATATAGATGTTTTAGGTGGTTTACACATTACCCTTGAAAGATAGAAAAGATATCTATCAAATTGGCATCAATTAGCAGTAGATATCCATCACCGAGGTCTATAATGTAGACATATCAATAACTAAAAAAATTTAACAATTAAGAACAAGTGAACATTTAAAGATAAAGAGAGAGAGAGATTTAAGAGATTTTTTGAGAGATTTATGGAGAGAGGTGTTTAGAGAAGTAAAATCTCGCTCACTATGCAAAATCGTTTTTTTAAAATATAAAATATGAACTATAAACATTTCCTATAATTTACATACAGATGAAAGATTTGGGGGAAAATAATAGAAGAGTAGATAGATATCCAACTCTCTCAAATCTCATTGCCTTGTCGATCTATAAAATTTCTTTTTATATTTATAAAATTCTCTTCCAAAATTCTCTCCCCCTGCCCCCCACATATATCAATCACATCTACTCTTTTATCCCATGTATTTCTTCCTCTCTTTGTTGAAGATTCTCTCACTCTCTATCTCCCTCTCTCACAAAATGGTATCTCTTCCCCCTTGCTCTTTCTTCCTTTAAGAAGGGGATGTGACATACAAATAAAATTTCTATCCTACAATCTCTATAGCATTAAGTTCTCTTCTTGTTCTTGCAACATGTGTCTATCCTTTAATTTTGCCTTAATAATGCAATGTGTATATACGTATGTGAACACACACACTTACACACTATGCAATGAATATAGGAGAAAATGAACAGTGTTTTCGCCCACAGGCTCAGCGTGGTCCGATCAAATTAGATGGTGTGGATAAAACAACCACACCAGCTTAATTATGTCCTTTCCGGTAACTTTTTAGGCAAAACCATCACGGTGCTTGTAGAGCCATTGCAGGACAAAAATACTAAAGCATTTTTCCTATAGGCATTTTTAAGGGTTTTTCATACATATATATTGGACAATTAGTTACCCTTAAAATAATTAAAATTACATGAGTGTACTCCTTTTTATCAACTTCAAAAAGGGAAATAGATGTAATTGTTAATTCCACTAATGCAAATTTATTAGTCCTCCTCTCTCCCGGAGGGAACTCTACTGCCTTCCTCTTCTCTGGATCCCTCTTCTCTCCATCTCCCAATGGGAACACCTGCCTTCCTCTACCCATTATCGTGGACTTCTTTACCATCATATCATCTCTATCTCAAATGTTTTCTCCTTTATCTCGCAATCATACCACTCTCCTATTTGGAAAGAAACTTCTTCACTATCTATTATCATCTAATGACCTATTGGGTTTTTGAGAAAAGTGAACCTCAATAGAAATTATAAAACATTATGGTTCTAGTTGGTATATGGAAGAGAGGAGCCCAATAAGAACCAATGTTGTAGTTGGTGTATGGAAGAGGGGAGTCCAATAAGACACTGGGAAGTTATTTGTGATTCCTTCGGTTTTTTTAAAGAGATAGAAAGATTGGCTTTGGGGGCTATACCTTAGATAGAGTACCTGAGACCTGAGAGGCTATTCTACTATCGATCTGTGGGTATGTCGACCCGTGCAGGCAGTGTCTTAAGAGAGAGAGTTTGAGGATTCATAGGGAGATTGGTTTGCCATTTAGAGAGAGAGAGATTTTGGGGGCTTCACTGTGTGAAAGAGATATTGGGATGTTTTATCTTGAGATGGAGAGAAAACCCTGTAACAAAGATGGAGAAATCATGGGAGGAAGATTGGCTAGTGTTTCAAGCCATTATGTGCTCCTTGATTCTTATTATTTGGCCATTTGGGATAAGATTGATGAGTGAGAGAGTGAGAGATCCTATCAAGGGAAGATGGTGAAGAAGGAGATGGAGCGACAAGCTCATCGTGAGATAGAGATAGGAGGAAGGCAGGCATTTTGCCACTGAGGGAGAGGATCCTATAAATTTGCCAAATTTGGGAGAGGATCCTATAAATTTGCCAAATTTGGAGTGATTAACAATTACATCTATTGTGCTTTTATAAATTGATAAAAAGGAGTACATCCATGTAATTTTAATCATTTTTCTATAAATCAGATCGTAACAAAATTTTGGATGAGTCTACTAAAAAATAGGGTGCACAATAAAAAATATATAAAAAATATTTATTAAAATATAAAATGATCGAAATAACCCTATAAAATTACGGGGCTAATTTGGTCATTTTAAATTATTGAAGGTAGATGTTTTACATTTTTTTTATGGTGCATATTTGTGTTAGGTATATATACCAAAAAGTTTATTTTCATTTGATTTATAGAAAAAAGATTAAAATTAAAATAGTGATATGAATTTTGAACCACGAGATGAAGATCTAACCGCAGGGAGCTAGTAG